TTGCCCTTATCCTTAAAATCTATTTTTTAAGAAAGTTTTTAATGTTTTTGGAGTGAATGTTAGTTATATGATATTTAATTCGAAATTCTATTAAAGAACGTTTACATACAATACAGAAAACATACTGGTGTGGAGGGCAACAGACTCGAAAAACTTCGGATGATGAAGTAAAACATAATCCGAAATATTTTGAAAAAGAGCCATCAGGTCTCGAGGTTGGAATAAGCATGAGGCATTTACGTAAGGTAAATTTATGTTATTGTGACACTTAAAAGGATTTACTAGTACAGCGTAGTTTTAGGATGTAAGCAAGTAAAATACGGTAAACGTATTTAAACAAATATTTATGTATTAGTATAAAAGGTGTCTTGTTCTGGTGTTAATTATAAGAATTAATGCTTTTTAGGTATACAAAAAAGGAATGAAAGAAACCGCTGCTGTTGAAGATACATCTCTTAATATTTATCAAGGGCAGATAACTGCACTTTTAGGACATAATGGCGCAGGGAAAACAACAACTATGTCTATGTTGACTGGTAAGACATGAAAAAGCGAAGCCTTTCTTTTCCAAGCAACAGCAAAAAATTCAATGTAAGCACATCTTTTAATTGCTTTTAAAGGATTTATTCCATCAACTTCCGGTACTGCTAGAGTTAACGGATATGACATAAATGATGACATCAGTAGTGTGCGGGGAAGTCTTGGTATGTGTCCTCAGCACAACATCTTGTTTGACACGCTTACCGTAAAGGAGCACCTCGAATTTTATCATAAGGTAATATATACATGTATGCTTGATCAAGATTTAAAGAAAAAAAATTATTTTATAAATTGATGTGAATATATAATTTATACTGTCATACGGATAAAATATTAACGTGGAGATTTCTCCTCACAGCTGAAGGGTTGTAGTAAAACTAGAATGAATGAAGATATCAATGAAACGCTGGTACTTTTCAAACTTGAAGAGAAAAGAAATGATCTGGCTGGAACCCTTTCAGGTGGCCAAAAAAGGAAATTGTCTGTAGCCATAGCTCTCATAGGGGACTCTAAGGTATCGCTTTCAGACTTAAGGTTCTTTTTTATTGAATAAATGCCTGCATTATTTTGTATAGTGCATTTTGTGTATAATGTGTATGAAAAACGTCAATTTGTTTGAAAGAAGTCAGTTTGTATGAAAGATGTCATTTAATTCGACTCAGTTACAGATTTAGTTGCAAACAATATCATTGTGTAATATCATGACCATATAATTTTTAAAAATGTTGATTTGAAATGAGATTGACGGTATCCTTGTAAAATCAACATATTTATCAATGGCCTGTTTCATTTTTTTTAAATTGATTGTTTATGGAATAGACTTATATATAACTTAGGTAATCATACTAGACGAACCTACATCAGGTATGGATCCTGGGGCACGGCGCCAAATGTGGGACATTCTTCAGAAATTTAAAGAGGATCGAACTATAGTACTTTCAACTCATTTCATGGATGAAGCTGATGTTCTAGGTGACCGTATTGCTATTATGGCTGACGGAGTTGTCAAGTGCTATGGTTCTTCATTGTTCCTTAAAACTCTTTATGGTATGTTTAAGAAGCTTAAGAATACCTACTTCATCTATATATTATATGTTTTCTTGATTTTTTATCGTGTTATTTATAATTTTTTAAAAATATATTTCGAGAGGTTTTATTTCTTGCCTCTTTGTAAGAGGATTAACAGAGTTTGGGCAAGACTAGAATAAGGACTGCTTCATAGGGGACATTACGTAGAATATATGTGATCTACATTACGTAGAATATATGTGATCTACATTACGTAGAATATATGTGGTCTACTGTTCTTTTTTAAAAGATGAATAAAAGTTAGAAGTCTGAGAGAATTCAGAACCCAATGAGAAAGCTATATGTAATAATAAGTGTAAAAAAGAACTCCCAAGGATAGCTGCAAAATGTAAGCACTTTAATAAATAATGATAATTAAGCTTTTAGGCTTCTAGGTTATATTTCAAAGATATATTATCAATATTGACTTAATTTTAATGAAAAAAATTGTCTTTTATACTTAGATAGTTTATGTGTGATGAGCAGTAATCATGGATATTTATTGCCCTAAATCCAAAAATAAATTACCATATGTAACACTTTTCAACGAGAAATTAAAGACAAAAAGGGAAAGAATATGAAAATTGTTCATTGAGGACGGTGACTGTTTTGCATTTGTCTCCGTTAATTTTATTCATTCAGTTTTTTGTGTTATTAACAGGTGCTGGTTATCATCTAGTAATGGTGAAGGAACCACATTGTGATGTTGCAAAATTATTGAACACAATAAAGAGGCACATTCCCTCGGCCTTCTTGGAAACTGAGATCGGCGCAGAGTTGTCTTTTCTTCTTCCTACGGAAGGGGCGCCTTCATTTGAAGGCCTGTTTACCGAAATAGAGGAGAATGCCCTGAAATTTGGAATAAGTAGCTTTGGGATGTCTGCGACAACAATGGAAGAAGTTTTTTTAAAGTGAGAAACAGTGGCTTAATTATTGTTTAGTCATCAATTATGAGTAAATTAATCGAGATTTCTTTTTTATTTTTTCCCCCCTTTTTAACACGTCTTCCTCATTTTTCATTTCTGTGGCGTACACTATTCATTGTTGTGATCTATCAATCTTAAGAGGTTCTTAACAATATGTACATGGATATCATATGTGAATACAAGCTGGCATGTATATAATTTTTCTCAATGACAGTAAGACAGACCCAACATAGGACATTATTGTATTCAGTTGACGACTAGTTCACAGTTAACCAGACATTTTCTTTTGAGGTGGTATGGAATTAACAGAATGTTTAGAACAAAACAAAGAAATGACAGAATTCATGAACAAAAAATCATCCTAAATCTAGCATTTAATCTAAATGCAGTCACTCTCCCTATAAACAATCAGCAATTCATGGAAATACTCTTTAATGGGTAATTAAGCTACTTCTCACTCTGAAAAAAATGAACCCTGTTTTCTAATCGCGGAGACTAAATTTTAGTAAATATTTTTAGTAATAAATTTAGTAAATATAACATTTGCGAAAATTTTCTCTCTATATAATTCCAAGCTCGTCTTTCTCGGAATTTTTCATCAAATACCTTTTTCCTGATGACTGTATAATTACAGTTTCAAATAATTTTCCAGTGGGCTTTAAATATTTGCCTCTTTTTTTAACTAAACAGGGTAAAAGACGATGCTGGGAATGGTAATAAAGCTTACTGTGATGACGAAACAGACACTCACTGTGTACAACTGCATATTGATGAAGGCGCGTCATTACATCCAAACGCTACGGAGAGAAATGATGAAATAGGTATGAATGAAACTCATTGTCTATGTCGCATAGTTTACTTATGTTAACAAAGGGGACATTTCCAGTACTAAAATTGTTATGTTTTTTTTTTCCGAAGAATTTTTTAATCAAGTCTTGCCATCAAGCATATTTATTTCTTGCATCTACCATAATAGTAAACAATGTCTTGAAAATACCTCTCCACATTATTTTTTTTCAAAAGCTACAGAAACAAAATTTTGAATTTTAGATGGTGGAGCGTTAATTATACATATCGAAAAATCTGTACATTTTATAATTGTGAAAGAATTATTAAAGCAACCCCCAATTTCAATGTGGAAAGATGAACAAATTGATAGCTAAGTACAATTAATGGTTCACAGTAGATTATAAAGTACAATCAATATCTTAATTATAGACATGTCCTTCTCTTTTTCAAAAAAGAGAAAGAGTAAAAAAATCTAAAGAGAATACCTCTACAGGAGAAGGGGGAATGGTGATAAGGATTGACAAGAGGGAAACAATCAAGATTAAAAATTATTACTTATATATTTAAGCTTCAAAATGGTACACATTTGACAGAGACATCTGAAAAGAGTAATAATCTTAGCTTATTTACCAAGAACAAATGTTATTCTTAATTTTTTCAGACTTTAATAAAGGCTTTGAAAAGAACACTGGAATTACAGCCATTTTCCAGCAATTACGTGGATTACTGATGAAGAAAGCATTCCATACTTGGCGGAGCAAATTTATGATCATAATTCAACTCATTGTGCCTATTTTGCTTGCGATAGCTGGTCTTCTTGCTGACCAGTCAATTGATGGACTTAAGCCCCATCCTGATCCACCACTGACTTTAGATCTACGACCGTATCCAAACTCCATAACAACACTCACTAAAGGAATTTATTCCCCACCAATATCAGAAAATATGATTCAGGAGTATTCTAAAAACTTCCGTCAAAAGGGTCTGGGTGTGGCTGTGTATGATTCTAAGGATTCTACCCAGTTTAACATAAGTAAATTTTGGCTGGATCGCTCGAAACAAGTAGGACAGAGAACCTTTAATTCACGATATGTCATTGGGTTTGGATTCGATGGAAATGATATCATCAGTTATTATAACGGTGAAGTGATTCACGCTAGTGGTATCAGCTTGTCATATACAATGGATTTTCTTCTTAAATTTTACTGTGGGAACTCCAAAAGCATTCAAACCATAAATCACCCATTTCCACCGAGTGAGGAATTAAAGCGTTCAACTCAGAGCGCAGGATTTGCAGCCTTCAAAGGACTAAGTCTTGCTCTTTGTGTCTTATTCGGACTTTCCTGTCTAGTAGCTTCTTTCAGCGTGTTTCATATCAGAGAAAAATCTTCTGGTGCCAAACACTTACAAAAGGTTAGCGGGGTCGGCTCAAGAGTCTTCTGGTTGGCCAATCTCATCTGGGATTTTATCCATTACCTAGTCCCAATTTTCCTCATTCTGATTTGTTTTGCTGCGTTCCAAATTCCAGCATACACAGAGGAGAACAGGCTAGGGATCGTGTTTCTAAGTTTGTTTCTTTTTGGCCTAGCATCGATATCTTGGATGTATCTCCTACATTTCATTTTCCGGTCGCCTGCAGGTGGAACGGTAGCTATGATTATTATCAACACGGTAGCAGGTGAGTTAATCTGTAAAAATTCCACTGTTTTGTACAAATAATTTACAAATTTCTGAGTTACTCTAACACTTTCAAATCCAGTACCATCCCTTTCCTGATGCAAAGGAAGCTATGATTTGAAGAAAGGAGATCTAGAAATTCAACTGGGACTAGGCCTAAATAGTTTCCTTCAATTGTAAAATCTTTGAACATATAAAATGCAAGAGAAAGAGAATAGTGCAATTATCTGTTAACCTTTGACTTCAGAAAGTCGTGGTATTCTCGACGACTATTAAACATTACAAAATAAGTGTGAAACAGACGCATAACATGTTAAATAAATATTGTCTGTGGAAAGCAACATTAATTATTTCTATGACTTCAAATCAAGGCACATGGAACAAGAATACTAAGGTAATCGAGAGACCAGAAGGCACAGATTATCTAGAGATGCGTTTTACATTTGAAATTTGGCTCCATTCGAATCTAATTTTAATGTTTTCGTATGTAAATATACATTTATATCCGATTTATTTCAGAGAATGCTGTTGATTTTTCAGTCTCTTCTGTCTTGGATCTTTTGCTTTCAGGTCTTTTCACACTGCTAACGGTCACATTTCTCTATCCAAGTAAAAAGACCAAAGCTGCAGCAGAGACCATGGATGTTTTATTTATGATCTTTCTTCCGCATTACTGTCTGGGAAAGACATTTACTGACATCTATGTCCGATACTCTTTGCGATCTAAATGTAAACAAGAATTTAGTCTGGATCTTTTAGCATTGAATGGGAAAAAAGGTATTTGTCAATCTCTTAAGCACAGCTCTGTTCTGGGTAATACTTTTATTGAACACTTTCTTATTTTATGGGGAAATCATTGACAGAGGGCTATTCTTGTAAAAAATTTATCTAATTTTTGTTATCAAGAATATTATTTCCTCTTCTGAGCAGAATTCACACCGTTCTATCAAATCCGTCAAAAATTCCTCTAAAAATAATACTGTAGCGAATGTCTTATTGATTTAATTATGTTTTTCATCGAAAAGAATAGGACACTGAAAATTCTAGAAATCCGATCGATAAGAAACATTCATGTTCACGAAATTTATAAAATGTTATTTTTGATAATTTGTTTTCTTTTAAATTTGATTTAAAGAACAGTGTCCCGATGACAACTACTTAGAGTGGGGTTATCCCGGATGTGGTCAATACCTGTCTTTTATGGCCATACAGTGTGTAGTTTATATGACTTTCGTACTTCTACTGGATAGTGGAATAGTCAACCGTCTGTTGTATAGAACTCTGTGTACCTCTAAAGCCGGGAATGCACAGAGTGATAACAACGCTAGTCCGGACTCGGACGTATTGGAAGAAGCGATGAGAGTCAACTCCACTAACCAGAGCGATCTAATGAAAACCGACAAACTTATAATTAAAAACTTGGAAAAAACATACGGCCTCATAGATCAGTTTAATGCAGTGAAGGGAATAAGTGTAGGGATATCTGAACAAGAATGCTTTGGACTGTTGGGGCAGAATGGAGCAGGAAAGACGACAACATTCAAAATGCTGACTGGTGATGTAATGATTTCTAGCGGAAAGGCTTACGTTAACGGTTTTAGCGTCAAAAGTAATCTTAGACAGGTACATGCTTTTCCTGATACATATAGTTATCAAACACTGAAAAAGAAACTTATATCCTCATATATTTTTTTACGTAATTTCTAAAAAAAAAAAACTCAAGAGACATGATTGTGAAATCATATAACTCTTTGTTTTAGCTTTGATACTTTTTTGCTTTCACGTTTTGCTTTCATTATTTAAACAGAAGTCAACTGTTAAATTTTCAATATTAGTTGTTTCTTTTAACAAATCTTAAATCAATAAATAAGAGAAAATTTAGAAAATTGCAATTTGAAAAATTGAATACTTGCATAATTAACTTTCATTTTCAAAGGTCCATCGTTGTCTTGGATACTGCCCTCAGTTTGACGCTTTGATCGACAGTTTGACGGGAAGGGAAATTCTGACCCTTTATGCCAGACTGAGAGGAGTGAGGGAGAAAGACATCAGACGGGTCATTAATGGCCTACTGGACGCCGTCACTTTGACGGAATATGCCGATAAGATGTGTGGGACATATAGGTAAGTGTACATGTTTTCGTACCTTTTTAGACATACACTCCTCTTTTTGCTTTTTGTCTGCATTCTTAAGATACGCGATTGTCTATCATTGCCAACTTCAGTAAACACCAGTTTTCCCATTTTCTAAATCACCTTTAAATACCTATGTGTGTTTTGGATAATTGATACTTCGAAAAAGATTCAATCAATATATCAAAGTTATAATATTTTCGTTGACATAGAAAAAACAAATTTTGAATTTGAGTACATGTAATTCTTGTTCATCCAAAAGCTTGACGTTGTATAATATTTTCTTTTTTTTTCTCTATAATGATTTATTTGAGAAAAATCATTTTTGTACGTTCCTTGGTTTACTTTTTACCCTTTGGGAAAAATAACGACTTTGTGCTCTTTTCATACAGTGGGGGAAACAAAAGAAAGTTGAGCACTGCAATTGCGCTTATTGGAGATCCTCCATTCTTGATGTTGGACGAACCTACAACAGGCGTGGATCCAGCGGCGCGGAGACAGATGTGGAATATTCTCTCTAGAGTCCGAGCTAGTGGTAGGACTCTTGTCTTGACGTCGCACAGGTTTGTAATGTTGATTTTAACTTTTCCATTATTTGTCAGATGACATTTTCAATGAACTGATACAGTGGAGGCAATTGCAAATTTCAAATGATATCAAACACTTTTCAGCAGCTTTTGTAATGGATACTTAAAGAATACATTTATGTAGCATGAAGTAAAGATAGGCACATGCATGTAATTTGAAGTTTACATTTAATTGCCATAATGAAATCCTTGAGGCCTTTGTATGAAAACAAAAAACATTATTTTCCTATTAGCATGGAGGAGTGTGATGCCCTTTGTACCAAAATAGTCATCATGGTAAACGGAAGATTCGTGTGTTTTGGGAGTCCCCAACACTTAAAGAACAAATTTGCGCAAGGTTACACCTTGACAGTGAGACTAGCACGTGACAATAACGGAAACGCAGTGGATTCTGGTCCATTACGTAATCATATTGGCAAAGAGTTTCCCGGAACCGAAGTATTCGATGATCAACAGGGCTACCTAGATTTTCAAATTCCGCATCGGAATTTATCACTTGCAAAACTTTTCAAAGAAATGGAGAAAACAAAATCTGAATATAATGTAGAAGATTATTCAGTACATCAGACGTCCCTGGAGCAGGTGTTTCTTGGGTTCACGAGGATACAGGTGCCCCCAGTGGACAGAAAGAGGGCGTGCCCTTGTTGTTTCTGTTGTAGGTCAAAAACTGCTTTTCAAGGACAAATTATCACAGCTCCTGGGGGACAAATTGTATGAAAAGTTTTTTATTGATGTATTTCATGTGGTTGTTTTTCTTAGTGTTGAAGGAGAGAAATTTATTTTTCATTATTACTGCGCATAATTTATTAAAACATTTTTTTTCCTTTTTATCCTTTGAATTCCATTTTAGAATTTTTTAGAATTCAAATTAATCATTTACGGAATTGAGTGAAATTTTCGCAGAATTATCATCCATTCTCAATGAACTTTCATGTGTGTAGTTTTCTTGATAACATGTTCTTACTTTTTTTTGTTATCTTCTAACTTCATTTTTAATTTTTTTTTGCATCAATTAAGATATTGTCAATCTCATAGAATAACTTTCATTATAAATAATGTCCTATCAATTTCTTGAAGAGAAAGTCAGAAAAGTTTTTTCTTGCCTTTTACGTGTAAGATTTTAGTATCCAATGGCTGTTTTTGTTGTACTATACTTTTATTGTATAAAAAGACAGTGTTTTTATCTTTCAATCGTAAACATGGCTAGCAATAAAATAAAAATTATGTATATACGAGATAATGTTTAAATAAGTGCAAATATATTATTTTATATGCTCGGGATATTGAAAATTTTAGTCACATAGGAATGTTTTTAAGACAGTTTTCAGCTGATTACAATCCATTTTCCTTCCTTGCTTTTGATATTTATAATGTGTCCAACATAACTTCTACATCAGATCCTGAGTTTTGAGCTGTTGAATTGCATCGTGTCGCACGCGCCTTTTGTTGATTTTCCCAACTTCAAACATTGGTAGTTTAAAAATTCGGATAAAGTATGCTGGCATTTCTCCGAGCCCATCGAGTGATTCGTAAACCCCGAAGTTTTCTTTGCAATATTGCTTTACTTGAGCTGGTGAAAGGTCATGACCTGGTTCTGTGACGTAACACACGCAAATTTCTTCATATAAACGCCTGTCGGGTACTCCAGCTACGGCAACTCGTTTTATACCATTCATTTGCATAATCATTTCTTCGATGGTGCTTGGCATAATTTTGCGTGTTCCTCGGGAAATGACGTCTTTGATCCACCCCTCTATAACAATATGACCGTCTTCCTTTATATGCCCTATGTCACCTGAGCGAAACCACATCCCTGACATGAAAGATTCACAATTTAATTCCTTATTCCTGAAGTATCCATTAAAAAGATATCTGCTTCGAATGCAAAGTTCCCCAGTTTCGCCTTTCTCAGAACGTTTCCATTTTCATCGACGACCTTAACTTCTGTTCCTGGAATAGGTTTTCCTACATCACCAGAAACAATGTTACCAACAGAGGTAATCGGAGGTAGAACAGATATCATGGAACATTCAGTTGATCCGTATCCCAAAATAAGTAACTTGGTAAATACACCAATTACCTGAGTGTGGTGACTGTCAATCGGTTGTCCTGTTGTAATGATCACCTGAAGTTTGAACAAATCTTTGTAATTCTCTATCTGGGCAACCAGATCCGTGAGGTAATAAGGCATCAGAAGCGCCGATGTACATTTCTCTTCCTTCATTATTTCCCATATCTTCATGGTACTGCTTCCCTCAATGGCTATCGAAGAGTCACAAAACACTCTAGTTTCTCCCTTACACACAGCTAATATAGGAGATCCTGCTCCCCACGCAAAAGGTCGATCGTTGTACATTTTCCCTGCCAGGATAATATCCTTGGGTCTCTCTGGACCTAGGTCAACGTTGTTAACATCAAAATGTGTGTGGGATACCATTTTTGGTTTTCCAGTGCTTCCAGATGTCGTAAATATAATTTCATCTTCAGGGAAAAGTGTAGGGAAATCAACCTTCGCTTCTTTCATCTGTAGAACCCCAGGGAGGTCTTCGTAAGAAGCCAAATGCTCGCTCTTTCTGAGGAATACTAGAGTTGGATCGTTTGAGTCTATATCTTTATAATCTCGTGAAGGTCGGCGGCGACGAAATAGTGCAATCAGTTGAAAAATCATATCCAAATATTTTTCACCTTTTCCAGGATCAATAAGGAAAGTTTTGCATTCTGCAGTTGAAAATATTTCCCATAAATCTCTGACGTCAGTGATGCTGAGTGTCACGTGAACAACAACACCGACCGCCATTATGATTTCTAATTCCGCAACTACCCATTCAAGTGTGTTTGGGCCAAAGAGGGCAACTTTGTCGCCCTTTTTGATTCCTTTGCTTACAAGGTAACGGGCAAACTTTGTTGCTTCTGTTTGTAGTTGGTGGTAAATCAGACTTTCCCTAGTCCCATCTATTCCCCGGTAAATCAGGATTTCTTTGTCCGGATATGACGTACATGTCTCACTGAAAGCGTCAACGACAGTTTTATAGACATATGGAGTTGTCCTTGGAGTAGAAAGGTAGCTGAACTCCGACATGGCAACACTTTGCCTCTGAAACAAAAACGTACTACCATGGAAATTTGAAAGGTACATGAATTATAAGCATACAGATTGAACAAACTAGCGTTTTACGAAAGGGGTAGTTTTATAGAGATAAAAAC